GGCATACCCGACGATGCGGAAGGTAAAACGAATTTTCCTAGCGTTGTGTCGTAAACCAGCTTTGCTGGTGCACATTGCAAGTCGGCTTTGATGCTGCTGCGAATGCCTAAGAGTACGAGCGAAACCTTTTCGCTCCAGCTAGGGTCGGAGGAGGCGCAGAGCGAAGCTTTAAGCCGTCGATGGAAGCATTCAACTAGCCCTTTGGCTGCTGGATGATACGCTGTGGTATGAATGCGGCGACAGCCTACAAAGTTGCAGGACCTATCGAATTGTGAAGATTCGAAAGGCGTTCCTCGGTCAGTTGTAACCGTGGATGGACATCCGTAGTGAGAGACCCACCGGTCCAAGAAGGCCCGGATAACAGTCTCAGTTGTGCAGTCTGTTTCGGGAATGGCTTCTGGCCATCTAGTGAAGCGGTCGACACATGTAAGAATGTATACAAATCCGCGTGAAGGAGGCAAGGGACCTACCAGGTCTAAGTTTACATGCGAGAACCGAGAGTTCGGGGCGAGAAATGAGTCAAGAGGACTGCGGGTGTGACGATGTACTTTGGAGCGCTGGCATTGAAGGCAGGTGCGAGCCCAGGTACGAACATATTTGTTTGCGCGTGGCCAAACGAAACGTTCGGTGACCACTTTCAAAGATGCACGGATACCGGGATGTGATAGTGAGTGCAGTGCGTCAAAGACTGTGCGTCTGAAGGAGACGGGCACGAGGGGTCTAGGACAATCTGTGGAAGTGTCACAGAGAATGGTTCCTTCTGTGGTTTGGAGAGGAACAGGTTGCACATGCAGCGAAGTGGACTGCAGGTTGGGCTGTATGTCTTCATCTCGAGTCTAAGCCGATGCCATGGCGGCAAGGTCGACGGTAGGCATAGACTGAAGAGTGAAGTTGACGCGTAAGAGAGCTTCGGCGACGGGATTGTCGACAACTGAGATATGACGTGTGTCAGCAGTAAACTGCGTGGCAAAGTTTAGGTGTCTTGTTTCCCGTGGTGAATATTTGTCGCAAGCAGTTGAAGGCGAAAATAAGATGCTTGTGGTCAGTGTAGACCGTGAAAGCGCGGCCTTCGAGTGTGTGCCGGTGGTAACGAATGGCTAGGTAAATAACGAGCAGTTCTCTGCCGAACCTAGTGTAGCGGGATTTCGCTGGCTGCAGGCGCTTGGAGAAGAACCCAAGGGGTTGCCATTGCCCACCAACGTGTTGTTGGAGAACGGCTCCTACCGCCACGTCTGAGGCATCAGTCGTAATAGAAAGGGGCGCAGTCGATTCGGAATGAGCGAGGAGGGCTATGCTGGAGATAGCATCCTTGAGCTCGGCGAAGGCTGTCTGTGCTGTGTCAGGAAAAATGATCTTCATTCCCTCTGACTTGGTCAGTCAGATGCTGCATGAGCTGAGCGCAGCGCGGAATGAAGCGCCGATATTAGTTGACCAAAGCACAAAATCGACGGAGGTGTTGAACGAAGTCGGAGCTGGGAATTCCTTGATTTCCTGGACCTTATCAGGAAGGACTTCGATACCAGATGATGAAACGAGGTGGCCTAGGAATTCTACAGTTGATTTGCCGAGTTCGCACTTAGTCGGGTTGACTGTGACCCCGTGTTGGGTCAAGCGCTGGAACAGAGTTCGAAGGTGATCGAGGTGCTCTTGTCCCGGTGAACTGGCTACTAAAATATCATCGAGGTAGGAATAGGTGAAGTCTAGGCCACGAGTGATATCGTGAATTAAGCGTTGGAAGGTTTGTGCGGCGTTGCACAGTCCAAATGGCATACTTAAAAATTCAAACAAACTGAAAGGAGTGATAACTGCTGTTTTAGTAATGTCATTTTCTTCTACAGGTATCTGATGATAGGCGCGAACCAGATCGACCTTGCTGAAGATCGTCTTATCTGTGAGGCATGCGGTAAGGTCCTGCATGTGTGGGATGGGATACCTGTCTGGAACGGTTAGCCGGTTTAGTGCGCGGTAATCACCGCAAGGGCGACAGTCACCAGATTCCTTGAGGACCATCTGCAGGAGCGAGGACCAAGGGCTGTCGGAAGGGCGGATTATTCCAAGTTTGAGCATGTGCTCAAACTCCGCCCCACCTACCTTTAGTTTCTCGGGTGGGCTATTCGTCCGTATGTGGTGCGTGACTTGGGATGCCTCGGGCAAAGCTGCATTCACTGGCTGAACGAGCTTGGAATACTGAGAAAAGAGGTTGGTGTAGTCTGGCGAGGTCTGAGGAAAGGCGTAGACTGGTGTTATAGACGCGATATCGGCCGTGATGCCACGTACACTGAGTTTCGTTGCAGTGTCGATTATCACCTGACGTTTCGCATCGACCAAGAAGTCGAAATGCCTGGGAAAGTCAATGCTGATGATGACAGAGGGGACTGCAGCGACGGTGAATACCCAGCGGAACGTGCGCCGAACACCTAGGTTCAGGGTAAGCGACCGATGGTGGCTATTGGCATACTATTGGTGGCACTTAGACTTGTCGATAGAGAAGCGATAGACTCACCTGGCATAGGTGGAATGACGCTGACTTCCGCTGCGGTATCAACTAAGAACTGCGTCTCGGAATCATAATCCCTAATGTAGATGACACGATTGTAGGCTTTGACGACACCGTTAGTCGCCATTACGGGCCGGCCTGAAAGTTTCCCTGTTTCGCAGCGTCGAAATTGCATGGTTGCTCACGCTTATTGGCTTTGTTACCAAAACGCGTGGGGTAAAAGCAAAAGCCTGAATTGTTACGCTTCGTGCGACGGAGTGATGAGCTAGAGCGGCTGCGCTGTTTATGGTCTAGGGAGAGTTTCTCGACTTGGCGTTGTAGTGACGCTATTTGCGATGATAAAGCGTGGATTGCTGACGGTTCACTAGTCGCAGATGTCGCTGGGGCTGTGACGGGGCTGAATCTAGTGCATGTCCTAGATTCGTTCGTTGGCTGATGTCACTCGATGACACGGCCTGCTAGTTCTGCAACTGCTGCGAGAGGCGGGGCGCTTGCCACGGCGATGATGGCCTGTACGTTTTCCGGGAGGCATTGCATCCACATTTCGCGGAGAATCCCAGTGTCCATGTTGTATGCACCTAGGAGCTGTTGCATCTGTCGCAACAAGGTTGAAGGCATCCTGTCCCATAGCTGCAGATCCCTAAACGGTTACTGCAGTCGGACCTTGTCAGAGAGCGTGATTCGCTTTATGATTGCCTGCTTTAAAGTCTCATATTTCGCATCGGGATCTATGATGTCTCTCACCTGGGAGGATACATTTTGCGGAAGCCGGGACATAACTTGATGATATTTAGCATTATCAGAAGAAATTTTACAATCGTAAAAAGTGGATTCTAAATGCGCAAACCATAACAACGGGTCATTCTCCCAAAAAGGTGTGGAGGCTAGCTCTACGGCACTAACCACGTACGTAGATGGTTTATCATCAGGACTATACATCGTGAGAAATGAATAAGTATATGCGGCATGTGAGAAAGCAAAACGATAGCGAGTAATGAATCAAAGTCAGTGGAACGAACTCATCAGAATGAAAATTCAAAGTGGCGGACGGCGTGTTCTTGACCGGGGTCACCAATTGTTGGCTGGAGCCTGGGACACTAGTCGATAATCAATGACACGTAAGAGCCGTGTCAAATACGGGACAGTATAGAAGTTGGAGGCGACTGAACCCATCGTATATTGTGCAGGCTACCAAAGTAGGAAGCGAATCAACCAGAGCGAGGAACGGTGAAGCAACGTACTCACCAAATCATGTGCCGTCAGTAAAACAAGTGGACGTTTTGATGGTTAAAACAACCGTAAAATCCAATGTTGTAAAATACTGCAAGGGCGTGTTTTCCGGTACCTTACAGGAGTGAGACTTGGCCCCTTAGGTCTGAAGATGTGAAGCGCTTTCAACTCTTTAAACATCATTGTCTGCAGAACACTGCTGGTGTCGGGTGGCATCAGCGTGTCCGCAGCGCTGACGTTCGTAAGCGAGTGCTGGGTAATGATGCCCAAGCTAGTTCTTTAGAACAACTGGTAGCACTGAATAAGTTGCGTTTGCTTGGGCATGTGCTGCTTATGCCTGGTCACCACTTACCGAGGGGAGCCTTGTTTTGTCTGCCAGACGTAGGATGGCGCAGGGCTCCAGGTGGACAAAGGTTGACTTGGCAACGGGAAGGGAATTTCCTGACGATCAAGCGTGATGCCGTCGGTCCGTCTCGTCTTCCAAGCTGGAGTCCACCTGACTCGCCTTGTGCTTGACTCGTGACGTTACGGGACACGGGTCACTATCGACACCAGTGGCGCGTCTGCGGCTGTCTCAGTCGGATTGCCTATTTAACCTGTGTTTGGTGCTAAGTTATCTGCAGGGCAATGACTGGTTATGACGCGGGGCAGTGAAAACCACAAGGAAGCTGTCTCGCCGATGCCGCCTTATCACTGCACGGTAGCCAGCTGTTTATGACAGTACGTTGCTAACACAATGTGTGCTCACCTTTACCTTGATTATTTGCTTAGGGCATTAAAACTTTCCGGTAAGTCCTCCTATCTTTTTTGCTGTTCTTCGTTCCGTATGTCGTTATGGTTGTATGGCAGCGAAGCATCAGTTCAAATGGCTGATGTACTGCTGTTTCTGCCGATGAGTTGACCTCATCAAACCCCGACCTTGGAATACTCGCCATGCGTCAGGATTGGGACACTAAGGGAAGCAGATTGTTATGTTTTTTCGACAATCTGACTCAACTGTGTTGCGACACAATGGCTGAGATATTTCCCGCTTTAGCTAACGTTTACAATGATGCTGATGCTCTTGCTGATATAGGTTGCAATTTGGGACATCACCGGAGTCGCACACGACCGTTGTGCCTCAACGGTGCTGATCGGCTTTCGATTGTGTTTTCTCGTATGTGTCAGCTTTCTGACCTGTTCGATTCGCGATTGGTCCACTGAATCTACTATGTTTCACAAAGTTGTTACCATTTGCCGTTCTGAGTCATTTATTGTTTTTGTTCCTTTTCAGATTTGAACGTTGCGCGATGTGTGACGAGTACTCTGTTAGCCCATCCAGCCACCCGTGTGACAATCAAAGCAATGCAATTGGGTTGCAAACTGGTTCTGAGTTCACTGAGTCGAGGGCCTTCGGAATCCTCTTGGTGTGGTCAAATCCTTTCCCCCGGTCAGCTGGTCTGCTGCTTGGTGGCGCAATTCACTACCCAGCCGCATCAACCAAACAGTCACGATTTGATTAGTCAGTCTGCACAGCCATGGTTCTTATCATCTGAAGACATCACCTTAGCTGATCTCAAGGTTCGTTTCTGCACACTAAACGGTCTGTTATGCTAATCATTGCACTCGAGTACATGGCCTACGGGATTCACGCAACGATCTAATTCGTGCTCTTGTTTTCCCTTTGTACTCGCGCTCACCATTAGATCGACTCAAATTAAACACCATGTCATCCTTTGTGGTTATCCTACTGTTTCTTTCTTTCACCTGGATTTCTGCTCATCAGTCGGCAGCGGATTCACATCTTGGCTGCATGAAACCCATTCCCCATTACTGATCAGGGGCGAAATTATTTCCGGTAATGTGTCAAATATCTGCCGGTGTTCAGTTGTGTTGACTCTGTTGTAACCAACCACGAATCCCAATTATCACCTCGCTAGTAAACTCATCAACTCATGCACATTATACCAAATTGCACGCGCGATCTATTAGGTCAGTTCGTTTTACTTTTTCTTATCTACTCTGAGTTCACCTACTCACACTTCCTCATCCATCAGCTTTGGTTGGAGATTGACGAACATCTAGTCATGCGGTCAAAATGTCGCCTCACATGTTTGTTCGCCTTATGTTTCAATCTCTCTCGCCCACTCCGTATTGCGCTTGCTGCTTTTTTCTCGTGTGGCCCGTTGCAATGCCCACCTTTGTGTTCGAGGGGCCCTAGTCCAGTGATTCCCAACTTGGGAGTATTTACCCCCAACAAAATAAAATGGGATTTTGCGTGGAGGAAATATGAGTGCAAGCATTGGATGCATCATCGACCAGTCACGAAGCAAAATTATTAACAAAATCATCTGACTTTCTAAACACTAACGATTAACGACAGAGCATTGAGCATGCTGATCTTATTCGCTGCAACTTACAGGTAGAAGAGTGCATTTTCGACATTAGCGATAATTTAGACAAAAGTAAGACACAGTTTTAACTTGCGCCATTTATGATGTGCATTCGTCGGAACTGCTTCTTACATTAAATTGTCAAAACTGAGCGATGGCAACTGTCTCATTGACTTATATTAATCCCTGACTTAATAACAAAAATTACTAACAAGAACTACGTTTTCTGAGTGATTGAAGTCAATGAAAAATGAATTTATTTTCCGTAATCTAAAACAAAAAGCATTGGCTCATAGTTAATTCCTTTTCAAACTAACATTTTTGGGTATTTGCTTATTCTAAACTCGCCTTGTGAGTGTATAGCCCTAAGGAGATTTGGAACCATTACCCTAGTCGAATGCAGTGCAGGGTGTCCCGACTGAGCTGAACTGCCTCAGATGTGCATTCTATTTCGCGGTTCTGTTCGTAATTGTTTCCATAACTTCAAATTCTGTCTGACAGCACATGCCTAGCCTCGATACAGGTCTCGTCAACCTAACCCGTCGTTTTTAGGTCACATTCACACTTTTACTATATGTCTCTACTGCATTGTGACTTTCTATTCATCCGTCTCCGTTCAGCATACCTATTCACTGATAGTGCAATTCTTCGTTACGTTTACGGACTACACTCACCTAATTGAAAAACTTAACCTATCTCAACACATAAGGCTAGGTGAGTTGAGTTGTCTCTTGCTCTTTTAGCTTTGTCAGTTCGTCTCGTGGTCGTTGTATGTGGAATGTGCATTTCCCTGTTGTGTTGTTCATGGCGTTTCTGTGACGCAGTATCTCCTGCATACAAATCGGCTCCTGCTTGGCCAATTTCCGTACAGCTACCTGCACTCTTACAAAGATAAGCTGATGTAACGTACTTTTTGTTTCCAAAGGCCTTAGATGTGCGCAGGTAGTGTAAATTATTTTCAGTGTTCATATTGTATTTAAAATTAGCACATTCGTTAATTCTAACTTGTTTTACCTTTATGAACTCGTTTGCGTTTGTCCTAGCCCCCCATTGCTGCATCCTCTGTCAGGTGCGCGTTCAGACCTTCCTCATCGGGACGGTTTCAAACTTAGCTCATAATACGCCTCCATATTTCAGTTTATGTATTACGCAGATGTATGCTTTTCACTTACTAACTGTACAACAAGCGTCAATCGGAGTAGGTTCCTTTTTCTGCTTTGCAAACTGCTGAATTTCAGTGTAGGCGTCAGTCACCATCGGCACACCTCAGGTTACTGCGTTGAGTGCAACTGTGGGCGATGCTCATATACGCGGGAATACCCCACTTGATATCATTGAACTGCATGCATTATTCGTACGGTTATTCGTCATGAACATTTACATTGGGATACGGTATCTTTATGCCTTCAGTTAGAAACGCGGTTGCACACCTCAAATGTCTCTGATCGAGCCATCACTTTGCGTACATATGACGTGCATATTTCTTCCCACCAAATAAAAGGTTTTACATGAGCCCCCAACTTGTATCGATTCAGTATAAGTAGTATGCTCCAAATAGCGCATGCGCTATTCCATACAGTCGTGAATTTCTTGAATTCTGAGTTCACAACTACACAGACTCACTCATCCACGTATTATTTAGGTTTGTAGATGTGTCTAAGCTCCAGTATAATGTTGATTCTTGCGCTGAAACCAGGGATGCGCTGGGTGTCATGGCTCGTACAGTGCGTTCTCTGATCGAACGTCTTTCGGCTGCTCTCGAACATTATGGCCGATAAAAATAGAAACAGGTGCAGCAGGAAGCACCTGGATGAATGGTAGACGGTTCACAGCATCACTTTCTGGAACTTGTTCTTGACATATGCGCAGTTATCCTTAGCCAACTAAACTTTTCATTCGAGGTAGTGCTCTGCTCCATGGGTAAACATTTGTTCCGTGACTTCTACTGTTTTACAGACTACTTTGCCTACCTTTTTCTGGTGGCACAAAACAACGATTGTCATTGAACACATCAGACGACTCTGTGTCACTTGGTTTTTGTTCCTCTCTCCTTTCGCCACTGCGTTTGTTTATGTTACGACCTGCTTCTACTGTTCCATCACTGATCATCCTCCTTGTCTTTTAAATATCAAGCTAAAAAGATGGACTACCATTTTACCACTTCGATATCACGTGATTTGGCTGACGAAACATAACTTTAACCTACTATAACCGCACACTCGTATGCTCTGTCGGCTGTAAGACACTATTTGCACCGCCCGCGGTAACTATATCAGCGGTAGAATGTTCGATTGGTTTTGTCTGGCGAACATTTAAAATAACGGAACCATTTTGTGGTTTTCTACTATACCCACTTTTTGCCGTATTTTCATGAATGATGACCGTATTACCTTTTCAAGATAATAGCATCATCAGGAAGGGCGTGACACTACCCTTCCTTGTCCAGTGGCGTTGTCTACTTTTTCACTGAATGATCTCGTTTTATTTGCATCTTTGTATTCCATTTTGTTTGAACTGATCTCGTCCTCTGCTAACTCCGAATATCTGCCGAATGCAGAGGCCAACGCCTTGAAGCAAAGACGTGTTGGAGGAGCAACTACCGAAAATGGAAGCAAATAGTGTGCATTGAAGAGATATTTATAAGTCAGCCCGATAATTTTCGCGTTCTAGTACAGCTGGGTCAACTGCCCAGATCGGCAGTTCGCTATCCCTAGCCAATGGGAACCTAGATAGGTGCGCGTTGTTTCGGCTGTACACCATTGGCTCATCTCGTATGCTTCTTGAAATAATAAGTCTTTCTGGGAGATTTTACTTTTTGCTAGATAAAAATATATCTCTTTAGATCACCTAGCTGACACTATCTCCTGGCCTATACCATCTTGCTGGTGTCGTTCGGTACAACCGTGCATTAGCTCTGGACCGTATGTGCTCTAGGCTTAATCACTGAATCATTGGGATTCCGTCTCCCTAACCTTGATTTCTACCGGACCACGCATGAATCATTCGATGCTAACCATTCAATCACCTACAACTGTCAGTCTGTTGTCACAAATCTTCTAAGCATCTCCAAACGGATTCCTCATTCACTCCATTTGTGACTACGATAGTTTAGAAATTTTGAAGCGGCATCACAGTACTTTAGTACCCTGAGGACGCAGTGATATTTTTGCGTTCTTCATCCGTATTTTTTTCTGGGTAACTGGCATTGTAAGGTAACTCTCCGTTTTTCCAGCCAAACGTTCCCTGTCGCTTCGTGTTATGTCTCCGCGATGTGCGGATCAAGTGTATGTCAGAGTGCTGGTTATCATGGGTTGTAACGTCGAATCCAATCTTATGGTGAGCGCATCGCAAATCATTGTTTATGACTGTGATGGTAAAGTCCTTTGCGATGTTTCTGTCATGTTTTGTAGCTGCCTTCTGATTTTCTAGCGAATCCACCACACTACGATCATTAGGCTAACAAGACCTACTTACCGTACCGACGGACCTTTGCAAGTCATTCCGACCGACCATATGTGTCTTGTGTTTTCCCCCAAGCGTTTACTGTTATCGCTCTTACCAACTATAATAATCGCTGTAATCATGAAGTGTTTTTGCCGAATTCCCAGAATGTTCTACCTTCTCAGGTACAGATCGAATTAAACATCCCCACATGGCCATGTCTAGGGTATATGAATACAAAAATGACTATGAATGAACACCTTAGGCAACGGTATTATGCGGTTTCTACCTAAGGACAAACAGTGAGTTGATTAGCATGTCGCATGGCTACAAAATGAATGCCGCACACATCATTCTTGCTTCCTCGTAAGATTACATCCCGTTCGCTATAGCACGACCGGGCCTTAGCCTGAGACAACAGTTAATGCACATTGAGGTATACTGCTTAGATCTTCTGGGCATCTTCAGAGCTATCTCAGCCAGATTTGTCGATGATCAGCGGTCAATCTCTTGGTCTGGGGCTGTGATTGAAGTGGCGTCTTTTTATGTAAAAATAATCCACTTTGTAAGTCTCTACCATTCAGTCAGAATTTGAGCCCATACCTTTGCTTTGAAAACAGTTTTGCCCTAACTTTGACCCCCATAAGTACCCTAATCCATCTACATCCATAACCGTCTCGTGAAACTTGTGTTTCATCCTGTATCGGCCGTCGCATAATTTTAACGCGGTCGCCTTGTCTGTTGCATGCAGTTTGATCATTGGATGCAAACAGGCTACTGTTAATTTATCTCTTCTTCCTCCACTTCTGCATTATTAACCCCCTCTCCCATGGTCCCCAACCCAATAAACTGTGGCTGCAATGCGACTAAAATTTCATCATCCATGGTATTTTCCCTTCCTCAAAATCCATACCGCTCAGTCTCGGCTGCGTCCAACATTCGTACCATGCGACATACTGCACTTGCGCACACACTGGATACTTCCGCCATTGATGCGTGGTACATCTTCAAGGCTAAAATTCGAAACCCCGCGGTTATCGGGGCAACTATATTTGCTTCGTATTACCTCTGTTGGTCACGCGCGTCCGAAAGTACATTTCGTGTGCTACCCGTTTGTAAACTTTGACTATAGTGATCCCACAGGTTGGAGCCTCACACTCCTTGCTTGGTCCGATGCCCTGGTTGATTACTATCTTGTTCGTACCAACAATGCCTTCTATCAGGAACCCACATGCTACTACTTAATTTGTGATGGACATAGTGATGGGCAGGTAGATGAGAATAGCTCATCTGATACTCTGTAAGATGGCATGTTTTTACCTAGTTCCAATCGAGACTGTGTGTCGAACGTCAGCTAGTTGTAAAAAGCACGGTTTCCACACTTAGAGAGGGACCTTAACAGATGACCACGCAATGAGTGATGATGTCCTATCCTTCACTTCCACTCGCTGAGGAACGCGTGCACCGGCTCCGATGTTATCTTAGTTCTATGCTTGTTCTTAAACTTGACTGGGATCACGAAATTCGGTGAACAGAGCAGTTGTCTAGTTCCTGGTTATCAAGCATCAGCAAACAAACATGCGGTAGTTGGTCTCGCAGCAACACAGTGACATCTTTGAGGTGCGAAATGTATGCCAAGTGATAAGGTGAATCCGGAGAAGTTAACCAGGCTCGTCAGGCTGAATATCGATGTCGTTCGGAAAATAAAAATCAAACAGCTGTGCCCTACGCATGTTTTCAATATCTGCAAATTGAAATTCTTGGATGACGATACACCGTATACGCTGACGCTATTAGGCCGGAGCATAGAACATTTAAAATTAAAACAACGTTTAGGCCAAGAAGTTCCAGTGAAATAAGGCAGTCAGATGAACTGAACACGATGATTAAGTCGAGGAGCATATATGCCTCCGGCCGGCTGCAAGTGCGACGTCGCTACAACCCTCACCTCTGGGTGAAAATGTGATATATTGAATCACCTTTCAGTCGAAAACTCGGTGTTCACACAAACTTTTCATTTTAAAGTACGATGAAAATGAGAGCGGATTTAAACAACTTTATTCTTACCAGTTTCAGGCTTGTACTCTTATGGGTTAAACAGAGGTTCCGGCTACTCTTCTTGAACAATGCCACCATGATCGATTTACTCGAATTGATTAAGTCGATCTTTTTTTCTACACTTGCCGAGATAGATGGGATAACTCTATGCAGTTGATCCAATCATTACTAATGTCATTAAGCTTGTTTCTGAATATTCAGTTCACAGTGGATGT